ATGTTATTTTATTTTGAGAATTTAATATGTGAGAATTGCATTTACATTATTTCCACCCTTCCTAGTCCCCTTCTAATTCCTCCCATGTCTCCCACTCCCTCCAATTTCTTTTTTTTCTTTGATTATTATTGTTATCTATACATACATTTATAAATATATATATCTACATACACACATATATATATATAATGCATTGAGCCCATTTAATAGTGCACCTGTGCACCTGTGTTAAGGGCTGCACATTTAGGATTAGATAACCTCTCAGGGATCTAGTCCCTGGAGAAAGCCAATTCCCCTTCCCTCAACAACCATTCATTGACTGTAGCTTTTCATCTTGACATGGGAACCAGTGAAATTTCCTCCATCCATCTTGGCATGTCAACTGGTTTTGTCATTATGAAGATCTTGTTAGATTACCATACTATGGAGATTTCATTGGTGCAGGTTTCCCATCATGTCTAGGAAACAGGTGCCTTGCCCTTCTGACTCTTACAATCTTTCTGCCCCCTTTTCCATGATGTTCCCTGAGCCTTGGATATAGAGACTGTACTGTAGGTCTCTCACTTAGGGCTGGCTACCCCATGGTCATTTCAATGTATTTTGACCAGATATATTTGAAAGCAGAATTGACCCTATTGGTTCAGTGTTACAAATGGAAAGACTCAAGATTCAGGTCACTAGGAACACTTTTTCCTACTCAGAAAGACATCTTTCCTATAAATGACTATTGAAATGCTCCCTATTTATAAATTTACAACATCATGGCCTTTCACAAATTTGACATTTAGGGGAACTCTTCCTTTAAAAGAGTTTTTAAAATGTACAATTCTTCCTTTTATGTATTTCCTTTAATATTAAGGAAGAAAAACCACTTTTTACAACCTATGTTCAGGCAACTTCCAAAGCAGCCTACAGAACTGATATCAGTAAAAATTGCATGCACACTAGCAAATCATTCTAAAGATATTTTTAAATCTAAAAAAAAATCAGCTCATCATCATGATTCCACTTTGAAATCTAAAAGCATAAATTATGCTGTTGTTAAAATGTTCAAAATGGCATTTCCTTTTTTGAAAATTCAATTTAGTTTTTCAGAAATAAAGAGTTGATTATATTTCTTATTACTGTTCTCAAATTTGATATCACAAAGTAGAAGGGTTAGAGCATGTGCCAACAATCAACCAGGAAAAATGAATCAGATTCATAATTCACTTTGAGAATGTCTAGTTAGTCAATCAAGTGATTTGTGATTGTGAAGCTGCCAGAAATTGTATGAATAATGGGCCAAGTAAGATTCTCTTATTTTTCCTTTTACTATTCTTATTTTATTATGTGACTTTTATTGCCATTTTTGATCACTGTTTCTTAGCATCACAAATTAAATCACACATTTACTTAAAAGTTTTTCACTAGTAAATAAGCTAAAGGATATACAAATTGAATGAGCAGAATATATAATGTTTTCCTACAAAATTAAGTCTTAGCATTTGTTTTTGGAGCAAGGAAAATTTTATTGTTTTCCCATAACTATATCCCCATTTATTTAAACTACTTAATGAATATGAAATTCGTTAAGGTTCATTTTAATACAGTATACTTTCTTGTTGTTTCTATGTATTTTAAAATAAATAAGTCATTTAATGGAATCTAGTAGATATGGTTTGAGTAAGAAATGTCCTCCATAGGCTCCAAGTATTTGAATACTAGACCCCAGTTGGTGGGGCTGTTTGAGGAGGTTTAGGACGTGTGGCCTTGCTGGAGGAAGCAAGTCATTGGGGGTAGGCTTTGAAAGTTCATAGCCTTGCTCCACTTCCAGTTCACTCTCTCTATTTCCTGTACATACTTGAAAATGTGAGTGCTCAACTTCCGGCCACCTCTGCCATGATGTACCTCTGCCACAGTGCCTCCCTGCCATGATGGACTCTTGTCCCTCTGGAACTGTAAGCCAAATAAACTCTTCCTTCTATAAGTTGCCTTGGTCATGCTGTTTTATTACAGCAAAGGAAAGTAACTAATATGGTTGACATCCGAAACCTTCAGTTTTGTTTTAATACCTTCACTGTATACTATTTCCTCAGTCAAAATTATAATATAGCCTGCTGATAAAAGAATATTTGACCACTAATTGATTTATGTTTATACAACTATAAAGCCAACTTAAAGATTGACCTATTACTAAAAGAGTAGTATTATAAATGGGTGTTTTATGTAAAATTATTGAATCATGTAAAAATTTGTCATCTAAGTAATAGATTTTAATCTATTTTAATCTATTACATCTAAGTAATAGATTTTAATCAAGATTACATGACATAAGGATGACAGTTTTAAAGTAAATAAACTTTAACTATGAAAACAAATGCATATAGCCTTTATTTTCCTTTTTATAATTTCCAACAGAAAGGTCTTTTCCAAGCTTTAGATTACTTATAAAATTAGCTATTTAATTTTGCTGGTCATTTTGTAGTAACATATATTTGGTTGGTCTAAACAACAAAGTCCTGAACATTGACTCCAAGATGCTAGTGTTATTAAGGTGAGAATTTAAGAAACACAAGGTTTTGCACCCTAACTGCTTCCTGAAAATCAGTCATAATTTACCTTAGAATTCACTTTATTAACAGCAATTGACATGATTCCTTTTTCTTTCCTAGAGAGAGAAGCCATTCCTTAATGAATTATACCCAAAAATGGAATATAAAAATCCATTAGACATATAACCACTGTACTTGCCCTAAAAAATCTAGTCTAGTAAAAAAAAAAAAAACACATACAAATAAGAACAATAAACTACAAGCTTAAAAAAGCTCAATGACAGAAGTCAGTCACCAAGAAGATTTCAAAGAATTACAAAACTGAATCTCAAATTAGAAGTTGCTACTTACAAGGAGAGGAAAGAAGATAGACTAAAATGATCAAAACAAAAATGTGAATGAAAACAATATTACAGAACATATTCTCATGGTGTCATGACCAGGAGCTATCCAGCTTGCCTAGAATCAACAGGTAAGGCATATGCATGATGGTGGATGATAAAAGAATAGGCTGTCACAAGTAAGCCTGAAGCAATCTACTAGAGACTGATAGCAGAAGACCTTGTATGAAAACTAAAGGGTAAATGTGTGTGTGTGTGTGT